TTACAAATTTTAAATATAATTTATATATTCAAATATAGAATTTATTTATATATAATTTTTTTAATAAATTTTAATTATATTTTTTTGATTCTAAAAATTTTAATTATATTATATATAATAAACATGCCTATAAATCGCACATACTAAAATGCTAGTTACATTGGTTCAACCACCCCACCTAAGGAGTTTATGAAACGTACATGAACATCTCCATAAAGTTTATTTTCAAGGGATTAGTAGTGTCTAGAAGAAGTTTAAATAGGAGGGGATGCTTTGCCTGATAAAAATTTAAATGGGGAAGATTAGTGTAATTTCTGAAACTAGAGGGTGTGTTAGTTTCATAAATCTTGAGGGAGGTTAGTGTAATAATATCAATTTATAAAGAAAAAATTCAGTTTTTGGTTGAAAAATTACTTGGTGAAAGCACCATCAGTCATCACACAATTCTAGAGTAAACAAGTTATTGTTAATCTTTTAATGCCACATATTACTTGTTGAGTCTGCTTTCACTATTGGAAAATGGATATGTTTAGGTCGTTTTAGCTAACATCAGTGACAAATTTAAACTTCATGCTTATATGTTTGATTAACGATATTTAGGTTGCTCAAGCACAAGTAGAAGAGGCTTGCAACATGCGGAAGCTACTTGATAATGAAACCACTGCAAAATCAGCTGCAGCAATTGCTGCTGAGGTTGCAGATAAGCTTGCAGCTTCTTCGTCATCACAATTGATCATGGCTTCTGTTCTCTCAACATTTGCAGCAGAAGAGGCAAAAAATGCCAATCTAACTTCTGAGTCCACATCAAAACATGAGAGTTCAATGCCTAGCTCAGATCCCCACGTGTTTATGTCACCACAACAGTTGATTGCTACACCAAACCATTCATATTCAACTTTGGTAGCCCAACCACCCTTGCAGGATGCTGCCCCTTCGCCACAAGGTCAATATCACATGCTTGGTAATCCATCATCCCAGCAATACGTGCAGTCAACAGGAGGGATCATCTCTTCATATAGTTATGGTAGCATCTCATCATTACCACCGGTACCACCCCCACCCCATGTGGTGCCTTTGACACATCAAACCATGCAAATAACGCCACATCAACCAATACCAATAACTCAGCAAGCCCCAGTACCTCCTAGTTTCCGGCCTCTTCAACCACCAGCAATGGTGTACTATGCTAATAATCATCAACATTCAATTTGAGACCTACAGTAAGTCAACTATAGTCAACATTAATTTACTTAAACAAGCGAATTCTAGAGATTTGGAATTTTTTTTTTGTGCCAGTGCTACATTGGAACTGGAGCTGGAAAATGTTGAAGCAAGACTATCACATGTATCCCTGGGACGTGAAAGGAAATTAACCTGTCCACAGATTTTAAAGAGTTACAAATTCACTAGACCCTAAAGCGAACAAAGATCTCATGAACCAGGGACGGATTCCTTCCCCCTAAAAATATATATAAAATAAAAGAACATAATCAGAATAAAGTAAAAGTGTTTTGACAGAAAACTATTTAATGTAATGTCCTATATTGGGACAATCAAATAAATCATCGGCCACATTCCTACGGACAAGATTGGTCACCATCAAAGCCATTCAAAGCAGCTCTGCGTATCTGTAGGCAGTCCCCCGATTTTGCAAAGAAAATTCAGTCAAAGGATCAAGGGTGTTTATGATTTGTATTGATTCGAGTTAATGATAAGATAAAGTTCAATTTGATTTTATTAATTGGGTTGTTTTGATTTGGGTTTTAATTGTATTTTGGGCAATTGAAATTAATCCAATATGAATAATATTATGTTATCACAGTTCAAGTCATTGAGTAATAATAATAAAATAAAAATTATATTTTTGAAGATTTTATTTCATTATTGTTTAAGCTTTTTTTTACTTTATTTTAATATAAAATAAAAATGTTTTTTTTCCAATGTTTTATTATTTGTTATATTTATTAAAAATTTATAATTATCACGATATATATTTCATACGTTTTTATTCAAATTGATAAAAATATTAAAACATGTATAAAACACTTGATAAAATCATAAAAAAGGTTAAAATAAGAAGAAAATCAGTGATAAAAAAAGATCAAATCATTGAGTAAAACAAGATAAATCTGAAAACTAAATTAGTCATAATTAATTTGATTTAATTTTAAAACCAAAAGAACTAATTAAACGAGTCACGTGAATTAATTTACTTATATTATGTTAATTGATGATATCAACACTGAAAAAGTAAATTTAATTTGTGATTATCACTAGGTAAGTCTAAGGCATAGCCTAAACATTCTTGTTTCCTAATTTTATGCAAATGATCGTTGTTTTCAAAGGAAAAAACTTTAGATACAGTTCTTTAGGTGTAATTGGTATTATTTTTTTATCAAAGTTAAAATTTTACCTTAATATTGTGCAAAGGTATTTAATACAAGTCTCATTAATATATATTTATATATATTATCGAGGTAAAACTCTAATTTTGATTGTAAAACAACACCTATTATACTTAAAAAATTATATTTAAGTTTTGTCCTTTAAATATTAGTTCCTTAAGTGTAATTGGTGTTGTTCTCCCATCATAATTGAAGTTTTACTTCAATATTATGCAAGTGTATTTAATGTAGACCTTATTAATATACATTTATTAATATTATTGAGTTAAAATTATAACTCTGATTGGTAAATAATATTAATCACACTTAAAAGAAACTGTATAACAACACCAAAAAAAAAAAAAAGAAACTGTATAAATTTTGTCATTTTTCGAACACACTAAATTATGAAGAGTGGAGAGGAGAAATGTCCTCGCACTATGTTATAAATGGGCTGAAACTCCAAGGTCATTGAGACACCTTTTTTTATAATTTTTTTTTTTTATTTTAACCTATAGAACATCGTTCAAATTTACCAAAAAGAAAAGGTCGTCACAGCCAAGTGAATCTGTACATATGTTGTCATCTTTATCCAGTTTGTGAAGTGAAGGACTGCAAAGTGGTCATAAGCCACCGTCGAGGTTTCAGAAAGAGGAAGCTTACTGAAGCACTAATCAAAACTGCACAACTATGCATTTGAATCAATATTTTGGATCATTAGGATTTAGGAGGATGTCTGTTACACTCCAAAATTAATAATCAAGTTAGACGTTTTTGTTGATGTATTTCAACCCTATCCTAAAAGGAGCCTATGAGATGGGCAACTATGCAAACAAAATAGATAACATATTTAATGTTAAGAATAACTAACCACTGCAGAAAAAAAATAGCTGATGATCCATGTTCAATGAATCGGAAAGTTTCAGAAACACTCAAGAAGCTACATCAACAGTTCGGTTAAATTTTATTCAAAAACTTTGTTCACTATAATATGATAAAATGGAATTAAGACTGCTAAGCCCTAACATCCCCTTATGATATAATCTTCTCCTACTAAAGGTAAAGTATAATGCTTTATAGAGTGTTTACATGTGTCAATGTCCATCAACATACTTGGACAGAGAGATTTAACACCCAACTGTAGTTCACCCTTTCATTGCTTTCTTCAAGACAAAATCTCTAACAGAGATTGGTAAATGGTACATGATAGCCATGGCTGTTGAGTAATGGCCATAGGAGAACCATGCAGGTGGTTTCTCCTTGAGGATAGCAGCCACAGTGTGCTTGGCAAACTCATCTGCAGGGGTCTTTTTGGACTTCTGAGAAAAGTAAGCTCTATCTCGGATTGCTGCTTCAAAAGGCTTGAATAGTTTCAACTCAGGCATGCGGTTGTAGTTGGCTATGGCAGAATCTCCAATGTTTGATTCGATTGCTCCGGGGACAACATTCACAACATCAATTCCAAAATGTCCAAGTTCCAATCTGTATACCACATACTCACGTTGATTTGAAGATGAGAACAAATTCACAAAGTGTATAAAATGAAGTGCGTATTTGGATTCTCATGTTTTAGTAATTCTTCACGTCAAAATGCACCAAAAGCAACTAATAATTGTTTCTCTGATCCATTTTTTTTGTGTTTAGATGAGAATCCAAACACGCACATAAAATAACTGGATCATATATAAGTTTGACTTTGTAGTGCATATATAGTGTTCAACAAACGCCACTATATTCCAGTTTCCATGAAATCAACGCACTGAGCTGGACCAATGGACGCCTAAAAGCTAGCACATAACAAACCAACAATTTCTATAAAAACAAGGTGGATTTCTGTTGCCAATTATTATTGCCTCCAATTGGTTTGATGCAGACATGAAGTACAAGTGTAGGGTAACGCAAGTTTGAGTTGAAGAGGAAGAAAAATACCTTAATGTATCTGTCAAAGCATGAAGAGCTGCTTTGGAAGAAGTATAAGTGCCTGACCAAGGTCCAGAGGCCAAGGCAGCAACACTGCCAATGTTGACAATCTTTCCCCGTTTCTTAGTTGCCATATGAGGAGCAACAGCCTGAACCATTCTCAAGGAACCTGCTTATGCCCGATCAAACATAGCATCTAGTTAAAAACATCCAATTCATGTTCTTTAACACTACATTTTGAGTCGAAAAAATACAAATTGAAATTGTTCCACTCAAGTCTGCTGCGCTACCAGGCTCATTGCATTCCATATATCATCCGTTTTGTCTCTCCAAACTCTCACGATTTTATCCTTTATAAGGTGGCTTGATGGATCAAGGAAATAGGGTATTTATAAGGATAAAACTTAGATGGAGTTACTGTACCATAACAGCTATTGTTCGCACTATTTCTCACCCAGAATTAAAGTTTTACTTCTATAATAGTCATTTAATGAAATTTTTTATTACATAAATTACTCGGATGAAATTTCATTTCTAATGGAAATCAACCCTAATAATACTTATTTTTGTCTTATTTATAAACATACGTTGGCCTCTTCCTCTTCAATGCAAGACTTTTGGTGGGAAAGAGAATAAAAGCAGCACCTCAAACAGAAACTATAGGCACCCAAAAGATTAATTCAGAGTGGCTGATTCCAAAACTCATTATTATGGATTTGTTTAGATAAATTTTTTCATAAATATTTATAAGAGAAAAAAAAATAAAATTTAAAACAAAGTTCTTTATAATCAAAAATCAGTTAATGAATAAATCATAATAAAATTTTAAAGAAACTAATAGAATTTTTTTTAAAAAAATTAATTAATGCTTAAATTAGTTTTAACATATGCAGAAATTCATTTCATTTCTTCTTCTTAATTTTCTCTTTCATAAGTAGTACTTGTGCAAAAATTGAAACAACCAAACCCAATATCTTGCAAAGAGTAACTGTAGTCCACAGAGTCGATTGCAGAATGGTTACATTGTAAAATTCATTTGGTTAATTTTAATCTATCCAATGAGCAAAACACAATTGATAATTCAATTTGTCTATCCACAGTGAATTATAGAACAAATGGAATGAAAATTCCAATTGGAGCAAAGCAAAGACAAGGGATTTGCAAAGGCGAAATACTGACCGAAGACATTGGTGTCGAAGGTGTTTTGTATGGAAGAGAGAGGAACCTCGGCGAGTGGGCCCACGCACTGAACACCCGCGTTGTTAACGAGCACGTCGATGCGACCGAACTTGTCGACAACATCATCGACCACTCTGCGCACGCTCTCATCGGACTGAACATCCAACTCTTGCAACGAAAACCTGTGGTCGTGTTCCAGCTCCGCCATGCTCTTCCGCGATCTGCTGGTGGCCACCACCCTGCACTTTCTCTCGGCGAAGGCGCGTGCGAGCGCGTGGCCTATCCCTCCCGTGGAGCAACCCGTGATGAGAACGACGGGTTTGGGTGAGTGTGGCTCCTCATGGCGGCGGCGCGTGTCCATCGGAGATGATTAGTATTAGTGTGAGTTTATTAGTTATGAGAATGGTAATAACAAATTTGAGTCTTTTATGCTAACGCACAGTAACAGTATAGTAATGAATGAACCAACAACTGCAACCAAAACTTTCTATCTTTCCTTTATTACAGATAGTACACCTTCATAATTCTTTCCGATCATAACCCACCCTAACATCTATATTAATTATGAATAGAAGAGTGTATTCTTTTTAACATGGTCCACACGAATACAACAAATATTTATTTATATAGGTTTTCAATATTATATTAAAATATAGTATTTTTACAAAAAAATATTTATTTATATATAATTTATTATATATTTTATTAATTTATTTATATATAATAAATATTTAGCTCATACAATCCATATGTTACAATATTAATTTAAACTTTGAGTTCGGTATCCCATATAAAATAAACAACTTATAAAAAATATATTTTACATTAAATTTTAAAAAAAAAAGAGAAAATATCGGTAAATCATGTTTAGAAAAAGATTTAGTAAGGATAATTAAAATTTTTATCATTAGAATAAAAATATAACAAGTTATTTATGAATTATTTAAATACGATATGACTTGTATCGTGAATACTAAATATTAATAACATGCTCTTAGTGAAGAAAAAAAAAGTATTAATAACATACTTTCAATTTTTAATCCATAATTTTCTTTTTTGCGTAAACTAATTTTTCAAAACATGAAAACTTCTCAATACATGATTAAAAAAAATATTTATTTACACTAATGTAAAAAAAATTCTGTTCTTTCGTGTATTTTTAGAAATAAAATAAAATAAAGCTTAATAATAATAAATATACTAATTAAAATAATTAATTAGTAATAAAGAATATTATTCTATGTGTATAATTTATTTAATTAATATATTTATTTTTTGTATATATAAGAGAATTACATATAATTTTTTTTTTATAAATTTATTATTTTTAATATATTATAAACAACAATTTTTATTATTTTTAATATCAATCTTACATTTCAATTCATTATTTTACTTTTAACATTTAATTTTAATATATTATTTTTTTCTTGAAAACAAAATCACTATGTGAGATATATTAAAAAAAAGAATTTTAAATCAGTCTAAATTAATAAATTGAAATGTAAAAAATAACATCAAAATTAATATATTAAAAGTAGGATAAAAGTATATCATCATATTTTTCACAATTCTAGTTACAACACTATTTTTTATTTATTTTTTAAATAGCACAGCAATGATGTGTCTGAAAATAATTGGGAAAGCCAGCGGTAGTATATTTCTCAATAGTAGCAAACATTGATTAATATTTTTATTTTTATTTTTAAAATGCATTTACTATTTATTACTATAAAGATTACTTCCTCCATCCCACTTCTTTAATGGTTTAAGATTAATGAACTATATGAATTAAAAAAACATTTAATAAATATAAATACAAACTATTTTTTTATTTAATATTCATTATTATAATTAATATCAGTGTGTTCATTGGTTGTGTAGTCAAGGGATCGAGCTATAAGTTCAATTTAAGGAGACAAATACAAACAAATACACTTAAACAAAGAAAATTTACTTCTCTATGTATATAACATTATAATAAATATATAAACAATATAAATAAATCAAATATTGTTTAAATTTTGTAAACTTGATGTCTATTAATGATATAAAAGGAAGAAGTTTTGCAAACTTTTTCATTCTCCAAATCTTCTTCTACATTTTCTATATATATATATATATATTATCCGTTAATTTAAATTAATGAAATAAAATATTAAATAATTTTTAATTTTTTTTAAATTTGATATTTATATTAAAAACTTTAAATTCAACTATTAGATCGTTGAGATTTGATATAGTGCATGAGTTATTAAATAGAGTAAGTCTAAATAGACTTACTCCTAAAATAAAACAATCTTTCTCCTCTCTCACTCAATATATATATATAATTCCAATAGCACGCAACAAGATTAAAAGTAAAACAGTAATAGAAAGTGCGACCTAATTAAATCAACAGTTTTATATCAATAATTATCTTCCATAATGCGTTTTGATATTTTTTTAAAAGAAAATAATAATGTTATGGGTTTTCAGTATCGAAAGCTGTACATTTTTTCTTATATCAATATTTTATAAGAAAAATGGTTCTATTATTACCTTTTCTTGTTGAATTTTATATATATATTATAAAACAAATTGATATTAAAAATAAATAAATATATCAAAATAATTAATATCACAATAATTGATTAAAAGTTATAGATTCCATCCTTATAATTAATATAAAATTTATAATGTAAATGATAAATTGAAAAAAATGAATAAAATTGAACAAAAATAACTATAAATTTTATGTCAATAAATAAAATAATTAACTATTTTTTTTAAAAAAAATTTTACAAACATAACTAAATTAAAATAATTGAAAACTATAACATTAATCAAATTAATTTTTTTAAAATACATTTGTTAAATCAAATTATTCTCCTAAAGTATATTTTTTAACAAATTCATGTAAAGTATTTTATATTAATTAAAAATATTAATATAAAATAAAAATGATTTAATTAAAATTTTACAAAAAAAATATAAACATTAATTTAAAACATATTTCCTTCAAAATTCACATTAAAAAAAATAATATTTTCATATATATAAAGTGAAAATCTTTTCCAGTATTTTTTTCTTCTAAACTCTTTTAACAAAATATTAAATATATTATATAAAAAAAATTTAAAATTATTATTATTATATAATAATAACTCATGAATATAAGAAACCGTTACAACATCATACTTAAGTATCAATTTTTTTATACCAAAGTCATAATATCACTAATAATTATAAATAAATATTATTACTAATAATTTATAATTATTTTATGTAAATAATTAAAGCAAACAAATATATAAAAAATGTGAAAAATAAAAAAAAATGAAAACAAATATGCATTAATATGAAAATTCTAAATATAATATTTTATTTAAAAAATAAAAATATTTTGATGTATATAAAACGAACAATTTTTACTATACTTTTTATCCTAAAATCCCGCACCAAACCATTCAACATATATTATATAAATTTAAAAATTAAAAATATTATTATATAATAAGGCATTAATATGTAAAATTATCCTAAAATCCCTCACCAAACCATTCAACATATATTATATAAAATTAAATATTAAAATTATTATATAATAAGACATTAATATGTGAAATTGTAACAATGTCATAAAAGATTAATTTTATTAACTATTATAGTTTTAAAGTAATTATAAATGAAAAATTACATAATTTGATTAAAATAAATTATTATGATAAAAATCAAGTAAAATATTTATATTAATTGTTAATATTTGATGGAAAATAATTTTCATTGAAAAAAATGTTATGAAAAATTTTCAAATACAACTAATTTAATTCATAAAAATAATTTCTAAAAATCTCACGGACAATTTTAAAATACAGGTAATTTATATATATACAAAATATTAATTTAAAACATATTTCTCTCAAAATTCACATAAAAATATAAAAAAAAAATGTTGTGACATAATGAAACATTAATTATATTAAATTATAGACAGTTTAAAAATAAATATAATTAAAAAATAAATAATAACTTTACATATGTGCATAGTATATTTTTTTCTATATATATTCTATCAGTAGAAACAATTCATTTTAACCTTTCATTCCTTTTTTTTTTGTCAAAAAGAAAATCTTTCATTTCTTTTATTTACACTCCAAATGTACTATTATATTTTTTTTCCTACATAATATTTTATATCTCACATTTTATATATCATTTTCATAAATACAAATATTGTAATGTGTGTTTTAATTTTAGGATTTAGATTTTTTTTTCAAAAAAGAAAAGGAAAGTGTTTTGGAGAAGAAGAAGCACATAGAAGTTTGGATTTTTGAACCAATAAAAGATATAAGACGAGAAAGTGTTTTATAAGTGAAATTAGTGATACTTGTTTGTTTGTTTTTTTTTTTATTTTTAAAATTGATCTATAATTTTTCTTTTTTCATGTTTTCTCATATGAGACTTTTTGTTTGTGTATATTAGAAGAGTATTAAATTTATGTTGTAAGAGTTAAAAGGTATGTGTGTCAAACAAGTTATGATTGTATGACATTTGGTTATGTATTGAGATTTGATTATTGTTGTTTAAGTCTTTTTTAAAATAAAAAATGAATAAATTTATCTTTTGATGACTCTTTAAATTTAAAAAAAGACAATTTGTAAATTCAAAAGATCTGTCATTGATATTATGATTTTTATCAAACTAAAAATTAAGAAATATGAATCAGCTGACCAATCCATTGCAAATAAATAAAATTAAAATACATTAAGATCAACAATGAAATGAAAAAAATAAAAAATCAACAAAGTGTAACAAACTTTTCAACTATGAAAATCATATAATGTATTCATTTTGAGAACAATTTAAGAAAAAGTTACACATTTTTGTCAAAATTAACATTAAGTATAAAAAAAACATTTCTCTTTAATTTTAGTGAATATATAAAGAGTAAAAATTATTATCCTTTTCAAATTATCTTTAAACCTTTTTATTTTATAGCATTATCTTTTAACTTTTTAAAGATTGACTTTTAAAAATTTAATTATTAATCATGACATTCATTTTGTTTTTGAAAAAATTTAAGTAAAAATTTATACTCTTTTATATATAAATTTACATTAAATAGAATAAATATTTTTTCTTAATTATAGTGAATATATAATGTTGCAAAAATTTTAGATTATCTTTAAACATTTTAAAAGATCAGTTTTTTAAAATTTAATTAATAATTAAGATGATTGTCAAAAGAAAATAATATTATTTCTTAACTACATAAAATAATAATATTTAAGATTAATTTTGAAAAAGTTTGAAAAAGTTATTGGGCTTAACCACTTATCTTCAATCACCAAAAAAAAATATGGAGAAGTAGTTCTCACTAGAAAGTGGAAGAAAATCATCTCCAAGAGGAGATGAACAAAATATATCTTTAAAAGACATGAAAACTCGTAGGAAAAAGGACCATCCTTCATTCTTAAATGTTATGGCCATAGTTATTTTATGGGCCAAAATACTTCCCTATATATATATAACTAATATTAATAAATTTCTTTAATTTTTAAATAAAAAACTAATATTTTCTTATAAGTATACTAAATATATAATTATATAGGTTAGGATTCATTGACTTAAGGTGCAAGTTAAAAATTTTATATCAAATCTTATATCACAATAATTTTTTTATATAATGTATATTTAATTAATCAAACTGTTAAATTATGTAATATTATACTTATCATCATGTATATCAAATTTAAAATAATTCGAACTTTCTTAAATATATATCCATAATAAACATTTGCATATATTTTAAATATCATATTATATATAAAATAAAATAATATAAAAATTTAAATTATGAGTATAATATCACATAATTCAACTCAGAGTTAATTAAATTATTATACAAAAATTATGGATATATTAAATTTGATGTAAATGATATCCCAATACCTACATCCTAACAACTTTTGGTCCATTATATATTACAACATGCACCACTTTGTAATTAATTTGAGATCGATATATACATTCAATGTCAGGAAGGAAGACTTCAATGGATGGATCCAATCTTAGAAATATGCAAGACGTACAATTTCACAAATAACATTAATACATAAATAATAAGGCAGGTGATGGAATTTGGTTGATTCCACAAGGCACACATTATGATAGATTCGGAACCATTCTGCCATTTCTTTAATAACGTGAAAAGTGGTTGATGAGTATGGCCATATGCTCTTGTTTGCAAACCCATGCTCGAGAAGACTCCACCTGCATATGCCTGCTTCTCTTATGGGACGGGCCGGATCCTAAGTCTATCAAAATAAAAATAATAAAATATAAAAAATTACGAATAAAAAATAAAGAGTGTAAGTTTAAATAAATAAAATTAGAGAGATAAAATATATAAAAAAATTCAGACGTTTTTAAATAATTGAGTTACTTGCACGCCTTAATTTAAAACACATGTGAATGTTTAACTCAACAATCTTGATCTATAAGCATCTATAATACAAGGAGGTGAAACAACCAACACATTAGATAAAATTAGGCAAGTAGTAATCAATGAGTGAGGGATTGGGGTGGATTAGTAGTTATGTAGTATCTTTTGGACTAAGTTTGATGGTTAATTGCTATTTACATTCATGTGTTGATAAAAATAAAAATTAACTATCTTACATTTGCAATGATTGTTAATTAGCATCTTGTCTATGGATTTATAGTATCCATAATATTACTTATTAATATAAGATTTTATTTGCTGATAAAAAAATAGTCTACATATCATGTTTCATATATCAGGAATTAATTTAGAAATAGTATACTTTTTAATAGTCGAAAACTTATATTTATATTTAAGTTTTTAAATAAAATTATATAAGTAGAAAATGATACACTTATTCGCACGAGAAAGTAGTTGAATCTTAATTCAAATATTTGTTGGCTACAATATGATAAAATGGAAGTGAATATAAAGTACTAGAGTACTCATCAACATGGAAGATGAATACACCCCAAGCGTAGTTTAGCATTTCAACCATTTTTTGAAAATAAAGTCTCTAAGAAAGAGTGGTAAATGATACATGATAGCCATGAAGGTAGAGAAACCGCCATAGGAGAACCATGCAGGGGGATTCTTCCGAAGAACAGCTTCTACTGTGATTTTAGCAAACTCTTCTGAAGGGGTAGACTTAGACCCCTGAGACAAAGAAACTCTAGCTCGAATTGCTGCCTCAAAAGGCTTGAATAATTTCCATTCAGGCATTCGGTTGTAGTTGGCAAGAGCAGAATTTGCAATGTTTGAAGTGATAGCCCCAGGAACAACATTCACAACATCAATTCCAAAGTGTCTAAGTTCCAATCTGTGTATGTTGAAATTGAAAATGAAAACAATTAGACACAGAGAGTACCAAATGTAAATCCTAAACTCTCTATATCTTTGCATTCGCTAAATTTTCACTATATAGTATGCATAAATCTATCATAGTGCCTTACCTACCAGTTAAACTCAACTATATTCCAGTTTCCATAAAATCACCCTAAATGCTTGTAAATAATAAAGCAACAACTTCTGTTGCCAATAACTGTTGCCTCTAGTTGATTTGATGCAGACATGAAACACAAGTGTAGGGTAATGCAAGTTTGTAGAAGAAGAGTGTTTGGAAACCCAACAAGAAATATAAATTACAACTATTAACGTCTCAGTAAACTTAACAAAAACATATCTGGCATCAAGAACCAAACATGCTAGAAGAAGAAAAATACCTTAATGTATCTGTCAAAGCATGAATAGCTGCTTTGGAAGCATTGTAAGTGCCTGACCAAGGTCCAGAGGCCAAGGCAGCAACACTACCAATGTTTACAATCTTGCCTTGTTTTCTAGCTGCCATATGAGGAACAACAGCCTGAACCATTCTTATGGAACCTGCGGATGTGTCCAATCGAACAGAATTTAATCTTAATTCTAAGGTTGCTTTTTATTCGATAATACGTAACAACTCGTAAGGTAAAAATTTTCTATATTCCCCCTTTTTTTTTTTTTTGAAATTGCAATTAATATCCTTTCGTTATTTAAACTTACAGTAAGATCTTAAAAGTTGAAAAGATGTTATGATTGCACTCTTGAGTTCTTCGTCTTTCAATAAGATCCCTTAAAAATTGAAAAGATGTTACACTCACACTCTTAAGTTCTTCTTCCTTCACATAATATTTCTTGAGCTTCACCACCACCTCGTCTTCTTTTTCCTCTTCCTCCTCCTCTAGCACCTTGCTCATATATACTAACTACCCTCAAAGACTTGACCATGTTTACTCCCGGTCCAAGTCCAAGTCCATGAAGTCCAAGAAAAGAAATCTCCTCCAATAGTGACCCCACCCTCGTGCTGCGATGCTGCGGTCATTGCTTGCAAGTGTTACTTGTGAAAAACAACATAACATGGTGTCTGTGACTTACTATCATTAGCTTCTACTTAAAAGTTTGGAAGTGTTACTTGTGAACAACAACATAACAAGATGTTGTGGCTTACTAACATTAGCATTTACTTCCTTTCTCCTCGTCTTATTTTGTTGTTAATTACTGTATCTCTCATACAAACTAGTTCAACTTCACCCTATTATTTCTACACTTGAGAAAGACTCTACGAAGGAAGGAGAATCCAAAAGTGCAAGTGTAACATATTTTCAACTTATTAGAGATCTCACTGAAAGAAGGAAAATTCAACGGGTGCGAATATAATATTTTTTCAACTTTTAAGAAATTTTACTATAGATCCAAATAATAGATAAGTATTAACTGCAATCTCAGAAAAAACTCAAGGAATGCGAGTATAATCTTCTCTTATATATTTTAATTTTTGTTATAATGCTGGCCAATATTAAAATTTTAATACGCCGCACAAGTTACAATATATGTTTCATTTTGAATATAAAATTTATAAGATTAAACTTTTTTAGATGTTTGAGTTTAACTCACTTTTTAAAATATAATTAGTGCATGTTTGTTTAGATGTATTAGATGTAGTATAAGAAGATTTTCACGTAAAAAATTTAGAAAAAACTTAGAAGCTAATTTTTCTTGCTTCTAAATTGAAGCGGATCCTATTCATCAAACGTTAAAAAATCAAACATGCTCCATAAATTAGAATCACATTTGAGGTTGTTGCGCATCGCATTCCAAAAGGTTGATCTCACAATTCTATCATACCTCTTTTTTGGGCAAGAAAACAAGGAGATCGAGAAACTAATTTTCAACAGAACCCTAAAATCTTCACAAGACAAAAGGCAGGCAAATAATTCTCTTGCGACAAAACCTTTATTTGAGTAAACATTTGAAATGAAAATAGCACATATGCTTCCACGTTTAATTAAAATTAATCCACTTCCATTACAAGTTAGTACAAATAGCTTTAGTGTATTTACATGTTAAACGTGGTCAATACTAACTAACTTATCACCTGTATAATAATTTTGACCAAATAACAATAACAATGTAAAATCATTTAAATTGTCCATACATATTTACTCATTAATAGCAAATTAACAATATAAAACTATTTACATCTTTTTATTCTTATAAAAAACTATCTAGATTATCACAATTAATAGGGAAAAGAGATACTTCTTACCTTAATATATTTAATTTTAAAGAGGTATGAGAGAAAATGGTTATAAGAAAAAAAATATTGAGATTTGAGACTTGATTGTAATTAATGTATAGATTAGTAGAAGTGAGGAGTTATTTTTTACATGGAGAGTAAGTGATTTTAACATCTATGAAAACAAAATTCTAAAATGTGGTAAGAATTAAGAATAAAGGTGTCTAATAAAAAATAGAAACAAATGAAATTTACTAAAAGAAGTATCTTATTTAGATATATAATTCATTTACTCACATAAAAGCACATAAATATGTATTTAATATTATAAAATAAATGAAATTTGATTTGGGTCTTAATAATTTTTTTTTCACTCTCCTAAAATTAAAATAGTATTGTTTAGTTCCTTTTATTATGTGATACTTAAATAACTGCGTGTATGTATTTATAATATTATGTTAACATGTGATATTTCATATTTTTAAAAAAATGTATTACATACTTAAAATAAATATTATTTATCTATCTTAAAATAAATATTAAGAACTAAAATAAGTGATTTTAAATTTTTGAAAAATGAAAAATACAATTTTTTTATGAAGAATAAAGCTAAAATTCATTTTATTTTATAAAGACAGATAATAATTTCAAATCTTGAAAAGATAGAAAATAAAAAATGTTATAATAAGTAATAAAGTAAAAAGTTAGCGATTTTAAAAATAAAAAATGAATTTAAGTGTAATAAAATTAAAATTAAGAAAGAAAAATGCGATAGAGCGATAATAAACTGACCGTAGACATTGGTGTCAAAGGTGTTTTGGATTTGAGAGAGAGGAACCTCGGCGAGTGGACCCACGCACTGAACACCTGCGTTGTTAACAAGCACGTCGATGCGACCGTACTTATCGACAACGGCATCGACCACTCTCTGCACGCTCTCATCGGATTGAACATCCACTTCTTGCAACAACAACCTGTGGTCGTGTTCCAGATCCGCCATGCTCCTCCGCGATCTGCTGGTGGCCACCACTCTGCACCTGTTCGCCGCGAAGGCGCGTGCAAGCGCGTGGCCTATTCCTCCCGTGGAGCATCCTGTGATCAGAACCACAGGTTTGGGTTGCTCCTCCTCGTGGTCGTGCTTCTCCATAGCATGCAGAGAGAAAGAGAGATTCAGACGAAATGTTTACACATACTGCTTTGTCATTTGCCTCAGTTTTTATATTTTTATACTTTCTTTCGGGACAAATAAATTACTATTGAAATTTTATATTCCAATTGGACTAATATTATATTAATTATTTATTATTAGTGGACTTTCATTAGTTAAATTTAGGGATTTCATCGAACAATAATAACAACTCTTTTAGATTAAAATACTATGAGTGAGAAATATGGTCCAAATAATATGAATACATAAAATTCATGCTTCTTTCTTTACGATTGAAGAGAGGTTCAAGTTCTATAAGATAATTCAAAAGCCTTCTTTTGACAAATAATAATAAAGTCATGAGTAAAACTCTATTTTGATCCCTTATAATTTTTTTTGTTTTAATTTAGTCCTTTATTAATTTTTTGTCTCAATTTGGTCCAAAACTAATTAATTGATTTCAATTTAGTTCTAAATTAATTAATTTGTTTCAATGTGGGACTTTCCGTCCAAATTGCTTTAACGGTGTTAACTTTTGGCCACGTGGACGCCACGTACGTGACATCCACGTGGATGAGAATTTTTTTGAAAACACCTTGACCCAGAACGGCCCGTTCTGAAACCGGAACGGGCCATTCTGGATGCACTTTTGGTGTGTTAATTTTGCATCCGGAACGGCCCGTTCCAAGTGCAAAATTAACACACCCAAAATGCACCAGAACGGTCCGTTCCAGTTTCAGAACGGGCTGTTCCGGTTTTATTTTATTTTTTTATATATAAAATATTAATAATTTTATAAAATATATATTATTAATTATATTTTAATTATGTTATTATATCCAATAAAATAAATATATTAATATTTTTTTTATATTTTATTTTATTATGTTTATCTTATTAATTTTTATCATTTTATTCCTTTAATCTTAAATAAGTTGCAAAAAATTATAAAGTGATATTCCTTTTATCTTATTAATTATTATATTTTTTAATAAAATTAATTAAGAATATTGGTTTAATTGCATTTTTTATCCCTCAAGTATTACAATTGTGCAGTTTTGTGATCTCCAAGATTTTAATTGCATAATTTTAGTCCTTAAAGAATTGCAATTGCGCGATTTTGGTCCTTCAATTTTTAATTGAACAATTTTAGTCCCTCAAATATCATAATAGTATGATTTTTGTTTCTCCCATTAAAAATTAATAATTTATATATATATATATATAATGTTTTAAAATTAAATAATTATTTATCTATTCAAATTAACGTATATTATAATTTTCGATATTATATCAATAATATTATTAATATATTTATAGATAAACTAATAATTTGATAAATATAACTTGTTATATATTAATATACTTTTACAAAAATATAAGTATATTAATTAGAAATATATATCTGATCTTATATATTTATATTTTTGTAAAAGTATATTAATATATATTAAGTTATATTTATCAAATTATTAGTTTATTTATAAAAAGGGTAAAAATATTATTGATATTAATTTATCAGTAATATTAAAATACTAATAATATATAAATTTTATTTATTTAGTAATAGTAAATATATATCATTTGATACATTAAAAAAAATACGTTAATTTAAATAAACAAACAATTATATAGTTTTAAAACATTATATATATATATATTAAAATTTTAAAATTATTAAATTTTTAATGAGAAAGACTAAAATTCCACAATTATGATATTTGAGAGATTAAAATTGTTCAATTAAAAATCCATTCTTAGTCTTTGGCTCCCTATTGTTAATATTTTTTTGTAATATTGTTTATTTTGTATTAACGTGACAAAGATCTTTAACATTGTGTTTCTGATGTTGAATTTATTTTTGTTAGAGTTATTTTCTGATGCCCATTTTTTACTCTCACTTGGAATGTGCATTACTAAGACATTTATTGCCCAATTTTTTCACGAGTGACATTGTCGTATTTTGATGACTTGTCAATGAGTGTCTTAAGTGAGAATAAAAAAAAATACGAAATATCGAAAGATCAAATTTAAGATAATTTTGACAAAATAAATTTAATATCTAAAATATAAAATTGAAGACTTATATCACATCAATACTAAAAAACACATCATTATAAAATAAAATTAATGACAAGGAGTCGAGGACTGAAAAAAGATTTAAAAAGATAAAATAATTAAAATTATAAAGATTAAAAATATTTTTTTAACCTTAAATTTATTATATGTATGATTATTTTGAGATGGCATAATTTTTTTTTTATCAGAGAGAAGGTAAAAGATTTGCCACAACTGATCATTGTTAAATAGTGAGAATCTTTTTTTAATTTTGAAACATGTGAATATTGAAATTAGCAATGTATTGTTTGAGGCTAATTAAAAGCACCCTAATCTATTTTGACAATGTCTACAAATATATTCTATACAAATTTTCAAGTTCTCCCTCTTTAACGTTGAATTTTCAGATTATATTGTCTTTCAGTAAATTTTTCAAAATTAAACTAAAGATTTTTCC